AAAGGGGGCCCATTTGGTAAAAAAAAAAAATTCCAGGGTTGACAAAAAAAGTGGCCCATGGGGGTTTTTAAAAAAAAAAAAAAAAAAAAAAAAAAAAAAGACAAATCCATCCTGCAGTGGCAAACAGTTTATTCTGCAGTTGAGTTTTATTTGATGATGTTTCATTGTATTTGGCACAAGAAAACAAGACATGCTAGCTTAATTAACATTTTACAAATTTAACAAACAGGGCGCAAGAGAGTCGAACACAACCACAACAGACTAGGATAGAGAGGACACAGAACCTCATCCTCATACTTTACTACATGTCGGTAATTTGTGCATGTGAACGTCTCTGAGCACAACAGATAGAAATCTAAAGCAGGAGTAACTTGTCAGTTTATCTGTATCAAAATCCGAGAACACAAGCAGTCTGCCAATATGATTGTCTTAGTCTGGTAAAACCACAGCTAGCCGGAATAAAAAGGCATTGTGCTTCATATCTGTCCTTACAGGAATCCTGCCTGCAAACTTGCATGTTGGTGTGCGTTCGTCAGCTCTGACACGGCTATTAATAGCGCCACATCAAAGCTTCACAAACGCACTCCCTTTTCTCTTCATATGACGGTGCATAAAAGTTCAGCGCAGCCTAATCCAATATACGCTGACACTGATGAAGACGCATTCGGTTAATGGGAAGGGGAACAATTACAGTCTCTCAGCTGACGGGACGAAACTTCGCCTGACATCCGCAAACACACAGGCCGAGAACAGAGGACAATGTTTTATTATTCATGTCACACACATTGCAAAGAGCAGAGAGCTGTTATTTCTAAACGATCAAGCTCTGAACCCAGGGTTTTCTTCTGCCGTTTATAGACCTCAGTCTAGTATTCATGTGCTGTGATTTGAGCTCTGTTGAAATCAAGGTGACCATCAGGCACTGGGCCTGAAAGCTTTATTGGTACAAAAAAAAAAAAAACATACAACCGTATTCAGCAGAAGATGACTAAAAGAAAAAAGTCAGCTTTCTGAAATTTTTAATTAAAGAGATAGATTAGTGTATTATTAACCATCTAATAGTGAAAAATGTGACGTTGAGAACAGAGGCAGAGGAATAGAGAGAAGTAGTTTTGTAGTATTGATGTTTTTAAATGCCAAGTTGTTGTAATCTTGTGGGTCATTGCATATTTTCCTCACAGCTCACACCTTGACTAAGCG